CCAATCAGCGTCTTACAAATGTCCTTCTTTTTTGGGAAGAGCCTCGTCCTTTTTACTACAAGTCGTCCCCTAAATATCTACACAGACATTCGTCTTTTTTCATACAAATTTTTGACAACTCTTAGAGCTATGATCAAAAAGACGAATTAATCCACTATGAAATGTGTATGTTTCTTCGTTTTCCCTCGAAATTTGTGTGAAATTCCGAAGATTCAGATTTGATAATTAGAGAAAAACTGAAATGCTTGAATTGGAATCTCAGTTTTTTACATTTCTAGAATCTTTTTTTAAATTTTAGTTTGAGAAAAATGTTAAAACTTTGAGAACTTAAAAAACTCAGAGAATGGGTTCTTAGTTAAATAAGGGAATCGAATATAACATTGTTTACCTTTTTATTTTAATAAATTTCTTGTACTTGATTTTAAGGTTAATCATCTCGGTTCCTACCAAAAACCTTTCAACTGATAAATTAGTTATCATCCTAACAACATAATTTCATCAATTGACAGATTTTTCATATCTTTCAGAGGAATCGAGATAATTGAGCTAAAAGTGCACGTATATAATGAGTTTGTATCAGACCAAACACTATAGAAAAACTTTGGATAAATTTGATTTCAATTTTCAAAAAATTGAAACATTCTCAATATAAAAAACTGTTTCAAATAAACTGATTTTGTTGAGCTATCAGAATAAAAACAGTTCGAATTTACATGAAAGGTTGGATTCTTTTACTCTGGGATTTCTGGATTTCAATTTTTGTGAAATTAAGTACAGGGTGGCTGTTAATTACCCGCAAAAAAGTTTGACGCCATGGCGTAACCGCCTGGTGCGTTTCTCGTACCTATAATAATTTTTGTTTTATTAATCAACTTGTTGTCAACTATTGTGAAAAGTTTCAAGTCAATCCGTTGACTTTGAGGCGAATGGCACCTTCCCATCCGAACCTACTTCCTTCATCGCCCTTTCAAACAAAGGCAGTGCCGACAGTCCGTCATAAAACGTCTCCAGGTTCCAAGCAGAACCGTTTGTGATGCAATCAAGCATTTCCAGGGGCTTGGCACACTTAAGGACTGTCTTGGAAGAGGAAGGAAAATTTTGGAAACTGCACCGCAGAAGATCAGTGACGTCAGATAAAGGGTCAGTGGAAATTCGCACAGAATCATGAAAACGATGGCTAGCAATACCAAAATATCAGGTATTCCATAACAAAGCTTGCCAAGAAGAAGCTCAATATGACCCTTCAATGGGTGAAAAAAGTGGTCATTCTCTCTACCGTCAATAAGCTGATACGGCTCGAGAAGGCAAACCTCTTCCTCAAGCGCACGCGACATGGACGTCTGGAGAGGTCTTCTCAGACGAGACGTCGTTTGCCTTGGAGTCCAACTCCCGAAATCAACAAATGCTAGCTCAGACATCGCAGGAATCATTTTGCTCAATTGGCAAGATTTCACTTCTTTTCGTCGATAAGAGTGTCAAAATCAGCAAGGAGGACAAAATTTCGAAGATTTTGTACTCCATAGGCCCAAATCCACTTATTAAAAGTTTGTTGGGGTTTCCAACCGAACAGAGCTCTAGCCCACATCTTCATAATGACTCAATAGTGGTTCGAGACTCATTTTCAACCCTCAACTCGCATAGAAGAGTGGCCTGATATATCGGTGGATTGAAGTTCGCTCGACTTCTCCGTGTTGGGATTTTGCAAAACAAGAGTAACGCTCATTATAATCCAAATTTGGATCCGCGGAAAAATTTTTTTGGTGACGGTATGTAACCCTTTGACCTGCGTACCACAGCAGATGTCCATGCGCTGTCAGCGATCGGAAGGGTAACCGAGTAGAGCAACTCTTAGTGATAATTACTTGTTATTACATCGATAAAAACACTGTAAAGTTTCATGTCCGTGCGACTTTTAGTTTTCGAGTTACGCCATCTCAAACTATTGCGGGTAATTAACAGCCCCCTGTAGATCTGAAGTCCAACATTTTTAGTTTAAAGAATAGTACCATCGATGGAACAATGCCGCAGTTTTTTGCTTCAATTTTAAAAGCAGGAAACAATTTCGCTTCGTAATCCAGCTTTTCATTTGAACACTTATGCGCTCTAGATGCTCAGAGAGTAAAACAATTTAGGAAATACTAAAAAGGTTCTTGTGACAAGAAAACTCAAGAATATGTATACACATTTTTTCACATTTTTTCACATCTTCTATCATTTTTTCTTTATCTAATTCGTCTTTTCCAATGTTGTTTTTTGCATAATTTCACCGTTACCACCAGCACTTGTCGGATATTCGAATCGGAAGCATCCGAGCAGTATCCTAACGCTGACGTCTTCTTCTTGTATTCTCTCTTGTTTCATTTCGCTTCTCTAAACTTGTTCCTTCAGCTTTCAAACTGTCGTACTTGTTGAATAGGATGGATTTCTACCGGCCACCCGAGTATAGGTTTGTTTTGCCAATTGTGAAATGGGAATCTGAAAAATTGACTTTTTATATGCATGCACATATTCAGTGTTGTGTTGATTGGTTGATTAATTCTTGTTGAAATATTCAAGGTGAAAAATAAAACTAATTTTTTTTTCACCTGTTTTCAGATTTTTCAGATTTTCTAGTAATTTCGTAAATCGACTTCATTCATTTTATTCCAACCTAACAATTTTCGGAAACATCTCTAGCGTCACTTTCAAAACAATAGGTTTCCAAAGCTGCCACTAGGAAATAAGAAAAAAAAGCAAAAAAATAGGAGACGGATAATTGTGATTCGAAACGTTTTTTATGGTCCTATGAGGTGGCGGCTGCTGGTTCTAACTAGTTGAGAAATAGAATGCCAGCCAGTAGCTTGAGACGGACGGGCACAAAGTGCAAAAGTAGTCGAAGAAGCAGCAATCTGATTCGTTTGCATTGCATCAATTATTCTTGGCGTTTCTGAGACCGCCTCTAGCGCCAACATTCAATATCCTTCTTGTTCGGATTGGAAAACGTCTTCTTTTAGCCTTAGGATTCTTAATTTAGAATGAATACACCTGATTTTTTGAATTAGTCCGTTTCTCAACCCGAAATTGTTGAAATTTTAGAAAGTCCTCTATGTTTCTAAGCTTGATATTCAGATTCAAATGTTTCGATTTTCAATTGAGGAGCATATTTCCAAATCTAAGAGCCCAAACAATCTCTAATCCAATTTCACAGGGTTAAAACATTGCGCTAGAGAATAATTTATGAAAAAAAAGTCTGACGCTTCCATTTTTTTCCTCTCTCCTTTCTTTTTTGTTTCCTAATCTCCCGCGACTCTGTCCTTTCCAATAATATTTCAAATATTCGCGGCTCTTAGGCGTTTTGAAGTCGGTCCTCAGCGGGCCAAGAAAAAGTACTTCAAATAGGAACCGCTCTCGGTTGAGCCTAAAAAGTTCTGGCGCATTTCTGCAGAGTGTTTCAATTTTTTCTGGCGACGACAATCTTTTTTGTTATTCCTGATTCTTCGTCTGGAGGAACTCAAAAACGAACACACATGCTTTTCTTACTCTCCTAAGCCAAACAAATCTGTAATGAAGAATAGCGTCCGAGAGAGAGTGAGAGTCTTGTGTTTTGAGAATATTTTACGTTTACCACGAGAACGAATCCGTGCTTCTGTTTTTTTTCATTCTGGGATTTTTGCCACATTTTCCTCTCTCTTTCCTTTCTTTTACATTGGCAGAATGAAATTCCAATTTTTAGACACTGGTTTTTTATTATCCTTCTCTATATTGTATTCTGAATTGTTCGATGATCTCCATAGAAGAATCTAAAATCTCTGTGAGAAAAAAAATGAGAGAAGTATCATCATCATGTTGCTCTTTTCTTTTTTCTGCTCTTCGGAATAAAAAAAAATCCTTGTCTCACGTTCTCTGTCTATCCCCTATCCTCTTGTATCATCAACCCCAAAGACGAAGAAGCAACGGAAGAAAGAAAGGCTGTCTCGGGGTGCTCCAGTCGTCGGGGAGGACCCGCCGACGAAATTTGAGAATAAATGAGCAATAGATCGCGTAAAAACAGGAAAATCTGAAGAGCAAAACTTGCGGTTCGGGCAATTTCAAGAAAAGAGTGAGGATTTGTGAAGTGAAGAGAGAAGAAACCGGGGACAGCAAGATGAGACACAGCGCCAGAAGTCGCATCCCAGGCGACGGGCTCCCTCCCTGGCTGGAAAAACCCCGGCAAGCAAAAACCATCAGGGCTGGATATGAGAGACGAGCTGGAGGGAATTGGGACATCTCTTTCTCTATCTTTTTTTGTGACAGAGCCTCATAGTGCGAACCGCCGAACATGTTTTATCCTTCTGTCTCTTTCTCTCTCTCCCTCACTCAGAAAATCATTTTATTATTTTTGTGACAAGATTTATTTCATTCACGTTCTCTGCACTGGGACCACACTTTTTGGAATCAAACCAAGTAGATCTATCTTCCTTGAATTCGATTGTCCTGAGACACTTTTTTTTGAATTAGACCTTTGCTTTTAGGAATTCGCGCCAAATCCCAGGGGTCAAGTTTTCTGGACTTTAGAATTGCTTTTGGCTTCTGTGCGTGTGTCACTTTGCGGGTATTTCTATTGTTTTTCTAAAACATATAGCCCCTAGAAAACCTGAAGCTTCACAGAGAATAGTCTTGAAGTTGTTCTCACGAAAAAGTGCTAATTATCGAATCCCCCTTCAGCTTCTCACCCCCGTTTTCTTGGCTATCTGACTCCCTTCTCTTGAAGAACGACGTACATAACGTACAAAAGTTGTTGATGCGCAAATGAGACGAGAAAATCGTTAGGAACAAGAAGGGCAGGCAATTATGTGCATGCGCAAGTTGATAATTAGAGAGAACTAGAGTTGCTTCCACTCAATCACTCAATTCGTTTCTTTTATTTTTCATCCTCCTCAGCCTTCATTAGCGACTGAAAAAAACTCAAACTCTATGTCTATTCTGTCTAAATTTGTCGTAAATTTTATTTTCAAGATTCTTGACTTACCATATGAATAAATATGGGTCCGAATATGGAAATAGAGAAATCAAAAGGAGTGATGCAGGAAATTTTGTACGAGGTTATCGAAAAAAGGTTTGTATTATTTTTGTCGTTGTGTCTTAAGTTTTATGTTGCATGAAATGTCTGAGAAAGTTATAAAAAACATAAAAACGAAAAACAAAAATCAAAAAATTTTATTTTGCCATTTTTTTCTTAACATGATACTTTCCAGCGAATCGTACAAATTTATCCGGATGGCTGACGATCTTCACGATGTCGCCTCGTACCTCAACGATATGCGCATATGTTTTATTGCTCTGACAGTCACAGGTACGAAACTTTAAAAATTTGAAAAGGATCATTATTTGAAAAATAACAAATCTTAAAAAGGGCACGCGCATTACCCAGAAAGCTAGCCTTTCCAAAAAATAATATTCCAGAAATAACTTTTTCAATATTTCCATTATGCCTTGTCCTTCTTCATTTCCATATAATTCCCATCCAGGGTTTTGCCTCAGACATCTCTTCTTTCTGTTTCATAACACGGCGAAGGTCTCGAGCATATGAAATCAGATACTTGAACATGGGATTGTTGTCGAGCGCGTTAGGGATCCGCCTGCTTGTTTTAAAGTCGTAAATCAATTGAGCACATTTGAAGCTCATCTGGCTACCAGGCCCATAAAGTGATTTATTGATGAGATTGAGGATGGGAAGTGAAGATTGTTCCAACAAGTATAATGAGTAGCGGAAAATAATGGAAAATTTCAGGATACATTGTTCTGGTCATTTATCTGTTTGTTTTCTGCTTCCGAAGGAGCCGAAGGAACCAGCCACGTCGTCGCTATGGAGATTATCAAGTGAGAACATGAAATGTGCTACGGAAAAAGTCTGAAATTGATTTAAGCTTACTCTCGAAAATATTTGAGTTCAGATAAATTTAAAAATTTATTTGACGTTCATGGGCTTTTTGTCAAGTAAAAATGACTCAACAATTTGGCAACTGATAAAAATCAAATTGTGAAAATATAAAACACCAAAATTAGTAGCAACATCTAAACTTCTGTAGTGCCCGTATTTCTGGGTTCAATTATCTTGGTTCCTGGGAAACATTTGAGAAAAACCGTAACTGAAAAATGTTTGCAACAGTATGATAAACAATTTATCAGTTAACAAATTTTTTATACCTGCTATAAGAGCCGAGATATCTGACCTCAAAGAAAAAATACAAACTTTTATTCTAAATGACAAAGGAACCACTGAAACTTCCAACCAACACTTATGATACTACACAATGTTCTCAAATTTTCAGAATGATTATAAAATTTTATGAATTATTTCAGCTTGAGAACCAACGCGAGTTCAACAACACACAGACAACCAACGAGGACATGCTAACAAACGTCCGATCCGATGTGAACAGTAGCTACATGGGCCGCAACCATCACAGGTACGATAGTGAAACTTCTAACCAGATTGTGAGAAGGACCCCTCTGAATAATATCGTAACCTTAAGTAATTGATTTTCTAACGACCACGTTTGAAGTGACTGATCAGCGTGTGACTCGTCTAACACTTCCACTCACAGTTTTTTCTCTTTTCGTTCAACCTGATTTCAATCAAAACAACTGATTTCATCTCCAAAACCCCCCCCCCCCCCCCCCACTAATCAATTGAGAATCTTGAGTTTCTAAGGAACGTTCGATTCTGAATTTTCATTATTATGATATTTGAGTTTATATATTTTTCATCACAAAAAAAAACCAAATCATTTCATAATCTTTTTTTTAGAGGACGGATTCGACAAGAAAAGGTGGGGAAAACAAACCGAACTAATTGTTCAATTATCTATCCTATATTTATGTTCAGTTTTTCCATTATTCTGTGCTACTAGCTGGCTGATAGTGATCAAAACTAGACAAGCTTTTTTCATTCATTAAACATAACTCACGCCAACTTTTGATAGTGTCTCACTAAATATTAAAATACTTGAAAACTTGAGAAAAAAAACACAGCATGTTGGATCTTCTTTTATTTCAACTCTTGTGCTCCATGTATTCATTTCGTTGTACACAAAAAATCAAATCAGTAAGATTAGCATGAGATATCATTATCATTTTTGAATCAATGGCTTTTTCACTTAACCGCTGCACTTCAGCAAAAAAAAAGACACCGTTCTTTAGAGAAGCACGACACTTGTAGAAGTTTTTTCTCATATATCTTTTCAATGCATTGTGTGAAATTTTGGTTCAAATTTGCGGTTCAACCTAACCCGTTGTGAATTCTGAATTTGAAATTTGGTTTGATCTTGAACTACCAAAAACGAGAAACGAACTTTCACATTATCGGAGCGTTGTGTTTCCACAGTTTTCTTTTTTTTGCTACCACTTTTAGTAATGCTTTTTTTTGTCAGGTCACATCAGAATACGGCGCCAACGTTCATGCGCCACGGGCACATGAACCATCAGCAGACGACGCGACTCGTGGCGGACAACGACGGATCGGCGGTAGGTTGATTTAGTTTTGAATTTGAAAAACCAAAACTGTCTAAAGTTGGTCTGAAATTGGCAATCTTGAATCAGTTGTTTAAAAAATCCGAGAGTTGGTTGATTACCAAAACTTATCTATCCCAAAAGTGCCTCAATCCAAAATCCGCAATTTTTATTCTGACGGCATTGTGTTAGAAACTATAGCTGGATGCTTCTGATAGAAGGAAAAACATGAGTGAGTTTGAAATTCCTATCATCTAGTTATCCGTATTTTCAAATAAAACAAGAAACATGTTCAATTCAACGAATTTGTACTGTGCCATTTTTAGCAGTTGAAAGCAAAGCAAAAATGAATAGCATCTATTTTGAAGTTTCAATGATATCAGGTCTTCTGTAAAGTTCAGAAATTTTGAATCAAAAGAAGCAAGTTGAATCACCGTAGACATACTGTATTGACCTCAAGCAGCCCATTTCAAGCTCTTATATCTCATTTTTTGTTAGAAAAAATATCAAAAAGTTTTTTTTCTCGCTCTCTCAGTTGACAAAATGGATTAAAGTTGACGATAGGGGGCTTTTTGGAAAATCGAAAAGTCTTAAATGTAATTTTTCCATTTTTAAGAAGAAATTTTAAGTCTGTATGACCCGTTTTGACAATCATAGGTTTTCAGGTGAAACACCAAATACCACACATTACAACGGAGGCACCAACTGAAGAGAAGGCCAAGGTCCCACAACTCGTCAAGGACTCTATCGACTCCAACTAACTTCTCTCAATTTTTCTCTTTTTCCTGTTTTGGTTTCTCATTTGTCTCAATTCTCAAAACAAAGCCTTACAAATCTGCATTTTTGTCATTTCTCCTGAATTTGAAAATGTACGCCATTCTTCCCTTGTTCTCAATGTGCACAAACCAGTCTTCTCTGAGCATATTTCTCTTTTCTGAATTTTATGTCTCAATTCATTCCGATTTCTTGCTACGGTGAAAATATGTTTCCATTTTCTTGAAAGATTTCGTATTCTTCTCTAGAATTAATCAGCAAAAGTACCCACTCATATAGTCCTCCAAGCTTTTTCATCGTCTATACGAGAACATCTCAATTGTCATCTTTCCCGTTTTTTTCTAGAATTTCATCTGATGCAAAAGCAATATTCCTATTTTGTCAGAATTTATTCAGTTACAGATTCTGATATTTTAAGAGGCCCAGAAAATCTCAATTTTTCTCAATTTTAGATTAATCTTCACGCTTTCTCTTTTTAAGCTTTGCCAATATTTTACGCCGTTTCATCCTGGCCCCTCGCGGGTATCATTTATATCCCGAAAATCGTTCTCTCAATTTTTCTCAATTTCTAGACATGATATTGTATTGTAAGATAATTTTTTCCAATTGTTTCAATTACATTGCATTTCTTTCTGCTTCAAATTTTTTTGCATTTGTTCTCCTACTTCTCAAAAAACAAAACAATAAAATTGTAGATTTTTTCAAAGAAAAAGTATTAAAATAAATTTGGCGCTGATTAAAAACGTTTATAGGTACACAACCTGAAGTATTCATTTCTACGTACAGTACTGGTTAATAAGATATGAAAAATACGTATGTCTCTGTTGATTTTCGGTTATTTCAATCATTTTCAGGAATTTGGAGTTTTCGATCATTTTCAAAGTATATTGGAGATTGTAATACAGACCTAGATTGACAAACTTACATTTGCAAATTTTTTTTTTAAATAATCTTGGTTTTTCAGCTATTTTCAGATTGATGAAAGAGACCTGGTTTTCAGGTTTTCAGAACAAATACAGGAAAAAATGTTTTTCAACTTGTTTAGTACGAAAACAGGTTGAAACGTGTGTCTTTCAAAGATTGGCAAATAGCTGAAAAATAAGGAACTTTCCGAAAAATTTTGTGATCGCAGTTTTTAATTTATTGTTTCCTGAGAATGGTAGAAGTAACCGAATGCAACTGAAAAATACGTTTTTGTATATCTTATTGACCGGTACTGTATACAAAAATTCAGAGACCTAATCAAGGCTCAAAATGAGGAGTGGACAAAATCATGCCAAAAAGACACATAATGATTAAAATAGTGATCAACAGAAGACACAGTCTATCCAATGCCATAGCTGCAAACTTCCAGTCTTCCTGCTTGAAAAGATATTTCCGTTGCTTGTCAAGACGACGATTCAGAAGTTTCAGCATTTCATCGATTTGCCGATAATAAGTGATGATCATCATGGAATATGTTGAATATGTGGAATTTTCTGAAAAACAAAGCTCTAGACATTTTCGGAATCATCCATTCTCACTTCTCAACTTTGCATCGTCAATACACTTTTTGATGTACTTTTCAAACTGCGTAAAACGTCGATTCCTTAACGAATGGCTTTTGTTGCCGCTCTTTGTTAGCACCAACGGACGTCGCTCACTTTTTAAAATGCCATCACCCACTTTTCTGTCAAGATGCAAATGCTCAGCAGGCACACTGAAAAAGATAAAATTGATTGAGTAATGGGAAAGTGTGCTTATCTTACCTATGCATCTTTTTGAGAAGTGGTTTTGGACGGGGTGGAAGTGGAAGTGTGTCAGCACTATCGATGGATAACGAGTAGTCAAATTCAGGGATCTTCGGGCAGCACTATAACAAAAAATGGTGAAATCTAATAATTGATGGAACAAAAATTACGTCATCATCACAGTTATCAAAAAATGAAATCTCCTCTCTCGCTTGTACAGTTGCTCTACGCTTTTTATAGAAAACACCAGGACGCTTCATCAAAAGTAACCAAGGAATCCAAATAAGGAAAACTTTGTAGAACAACGGATGCATGTGAATGTTCTGCACTTGTCGATACCGGAAATTGAGTACGGTAATCGTAAATGCGGTGGACACAGAGCTGATTAAAGTGAGCGACGAAAAGAACATTCCTGAAAGCTGAAATAGGCACTGAATGAGATGTTTGTTGGAATACCTAGCAAAGGCACAGATTCAGAAGTAGGCGGTGTCATCTCACTCACAATTGTGACGAAAAAACAGATGGAAAGTAGAATAGTGGTTTCTAAAAAATCACAGAACTGCTCAATTTTTAAAAACTAGATTCTTACGATAACCAATTTTCTCGGACATGTCATGTGCTGGAAGACAGAATCCCATCAGTGTCATTATTGAAATTAAAAGTGATGGAAGGATGATATTGAATAGATAAAATAAAGTTCGTCTTCTGAAAACCACGCTGATGTAAAAAATTTTCATTCAAATGATTCACCTACCTGAGAAACATATAGAATGTTACCGTAGAGTATGGTTCTTTACAGCATGAGTTGAATTTCACATCTTTTACAGCGGGAGCTTTTGTCAAATGCCATTCTCCGCTAGGTGTGTAGGTTGATAAGTCGATGGAGAACTCTGCAGTTTTTTTTTTCATGATCGGTTTGAGGAGAGACTATTTATTTTAATGCCGCTCCAGTATTTTGCCATTTCTCGGTTACAAACGACTTACAGTGTTCGCCAGAATTCTATTTGAAGAGGACTATTTAATTGGAAAATGGTCCACTCTGGGTTTAAAATAATACTTATCATTCATCCGTTTGATCTGAAACTTCTACTTAAATAATCGTTTTGAAATTGAGTTCTGGCCAAAATTGTAGGTCGTTAGTTACCAAAAAATGTTGAAATTTTTGAAACAGCATTAAAATAGGCGGTGTGATAGGTCACTGGCATATATGATCACATTTTCGCCTACATTACCATCTTCATCTTCTTCCGCAATAATACTCAAGTCCAATGCTAACCCGTGATAAGTCCAAGATCCAAACTTCAAATAGCAAACTTGATCATCAAACGGAAAATAAGTAATATCCATTTTACAACTGGCTCGAAAAATGCCCGGCGGTATCCAATTAACCTCTCCGGTATTATAAACGACTTCATTGGATTTGAAAGATGAGTCAAAATCTTCACTGGCACTGTTGTAAAGTAGAATATCAGGTCTCCATATCTGATTTTCACCACCAGCAAAACGAATGCTAGTGATGTTGTCGTATTGTAAAGGGTCCCACTGCAAACGATAATCCATCCACACCTAAAATACTGATTTTGAAAAAAGGAAAATTTTTGTTGAGCCATACATATTTCAGCCAGGCGTTGACTTCAATGATTTGATTCTGTCCATCCTGAAAAAAATTTCGATTTTCAAACAGTAAGTTACAGTCACACACCAAGTTGAGAATTTGCTGAAGAAAAACTTTCATATGAACTTTGAGCACATTTCTTGGGTATCTGACAGGTCTTGCCAATTTCAAATATCCGGTTAATATGTCTCTGAAATTTTATTTAAAAAAATGGTATACTGTATTTCCTCAAATATATCCACGGAAACCGTCATCTTCGAGCTCAGGTATCTCGATTCTTGTGAAAGATATACAAGATTCGTAAACTGGTAAAACATAAGTATATAATTTATCAGTCGACAAATTTCTTATATCTTCTACAAGAATCAAAATAATGAGCTCATAGTTGACGGTTTCGGTTCACTCAAAAAGTTTTAAATTTCAGACAGTGCTTACCTGTACAATTTATTTTCCGCTTTGCTACATTCTGAATAATCTAGAAAAGATACAAAAAACACACAGAACACAAAAAGAAGTCGAATCGACATTCCTATCAAGTGGATAGTGACGGAAAAGACATTGATCAGATATACTCTTAATCTCTAGTGTTTGTTCTTTTCCCACTCCAAATTTATTGCGAATTCAATTGAACAAATTTTGAAAAAATACAAAAAATGAGAAGGGGGATATTTTCACCAAAATTTTTACAAAAATACCAAAGAAACATAATTAAAGGCAGCGGGCGGTTTGGAAATGCACATGTACAGCGAGGGGTTCAATCAGAGTTAAAATGACAATTAGAAAAAAATAATCGGGACAATTATTACCAAAAAAAAGAAACGGGGGAAAACCACAAAAAATGAGCAAAGCGATATGCCGATATCGAAAAATTGTTTGTTTGACCTACAAAATTCTAGACATAATTGTGAATATCAAAAATTGATTGCAAATAAAACAATGCATGGGGATCTGGAAACATTGAGGTGTCTTTGTGACGTCATGTGCTCAGATGTGTGAATGTTACCAGCTCTTCTAAAAATTCTACTCGGGGTGGAAGACAGGATGTTCGATAGTAATCGATAAAAATGGTAAAGTTGTTATGAAAATAAATGTGACATATCTTAATTAGAACATGATTGAAGGTATTTTTTAAAAACGAAAAGTAAGCGAAAATGTTTTGTTCCAAAATAGCAAAGGGCCATGAAATTTGCTGGATTCCCATAGACTACACCAAATTTCACACGATTTGTAACTTGTCAAGTTCTAATAGATGCTTATCAGGTGATTATATAATAATCAAGAGTACACAATTACACCGCCATGCGGGTTTGTGGATGAGTGAACGAAGATATACAGTTATCCTATTGCTGCGACGAAGTGGATGGTGTCGGGTCAGCAAGAGTGACAGCCTCGACACTGGTAATCAACTCGTCCTCCTTCGTCTTATGCTTTTTGGCTTCCTTTGGAGACCCCTTCATTTCTTGAATCTGCTTTATCAGGTAGGCCTTCTCATCATTGAACTGTTCGTCATCGGTACGGTCGTTGTGGAATTCGCCCAAGAATTCGACCTGAAATGAAAAAAATATAAGGTAGGTGCGTTGCTAATTGGTGGAAGGAATTGGTGGAAGATGTTGCGTCCACGTGATATTTAGTGTTTTGGTTTCGTTGTCTCTTTTCTTCGAATCCGGTTCTTTTCAAAAGTTTCGTACTGGAAAGATAACTTACCAGTTTCTCGCGATTGCGGAGAAGAATGTCACAGATTGGCTTCGATTTATTAGGGTTCGCAACGAAAACCTTGAAGACGTGGAAAGCTTCGTATTGGATGTTGCGACTCTTGTCTCTCAACAGCTCCATCAAAACTCTCATGTTTTCCGGATTCGAGATGTATTTATGCATGATGTTGAAGTTGTGACGGTCGAGGAGGAGCTCTCCAAGAAGTTTCAAAGATTGGCGACGAGTGACATAGTTCTTGGAGTTGAGAAGGTTTTGGTATTGAGCTGAATACCGAGAATAATTTTCAAATCTTAAAAATTAGCGTAGAGTCTGTGATAAAGGGGTCCCCACACTGTGAATTTTTGAGCTTAATAATCTCAATTCCTGTGGAAAATATCGATGCTGTTTCAACTAACGATACACTTCTGATATTGTGATTAACAGTTTTTCAGTTGGCAAATTTTTTATATCTCTTACAGGAATGGAGATAAATTAAATCGAAGTTGAAGTTAGGGGCCCTTCTTATACAGGTTTTACGGTATGTATTCCTAAGCGCACTTACCGAAAAATGTGTCGTAGTGGGTTTCGAGAAACTCCGCACAAAGTGTTTTATGTCTAGTCGTTAGTTCTTTGAACGTCGCAAAAGCATCGGACGCAATATCGAAGACCTAAAAATCAAATTAAATGTATGTGGACAATGCCTGGACCCTAGACCCCAACAAAAGGGAACAAGAGGATTTTCCTATCATCTTTTCCCATACTGACCTCACTCTGTACATAATGGAAAAATGTGTAGAAGACGTCGGAGTAGAGGATCATTTTTGCAAGATGGTCGTGACGAATACTCTCTCGAAGCATGAGTCCACAAGTGAGTGCAATATCCGAATTCGTGTATCTGAAAATACGATATGCGTGAGATGGCAGTGCATGTGACGCCAGGTAATGTACCCTTGAACAAGTTGAACTAGAATTTCCGGTCGTGCTCCAAGATACTCGACTGTTGGGGATCGAGTTCCAATTTGGCGACGGAGCAGGTTGTTGAAAATTTGACCGACATCCTTCTTACACTCGAATTCAAATTTGGGGAGCATCTTGACTACCATTGGAAGAATATTGGCATTGTAGATCTCTTGGGCGAGTTGAGCAACTTGGACGACATGGTCCGTTTCCGAATTTGATCCTTCGTTTCCATAGATCAAATTTTTGATCAGAGCAACATTTTTAGCAACTTCCTCCACTGATTTGTCGTATTTCTTGTCACTTACGACGTTACCCTGGAAAATGGGTGATCATTGGTTCAGAAGAATAGTTCAGTATCAGCACAAGTCACAAGAAGTTTCACTGACTACAGTATACCCTTTGATTTTCACTCACGTCTTTGTCCAATTTCGGTGGTGGAAGTTTATCTAGAATAATGAGAACTTCTCTCAAGTTTTTGACAATTTCCGCTGGCGTCTTGTGGCTCTTGCCGAATAACAGCGGCATGACTCTCTGGTACCACTTGCGATCAAAGCGTTTGAAGAACTTTTCTGGGTCTCCTGAAAAGGTGTTCTTTTATAGTTTTTGTTTCGGGGTTCGGTTCAAAGTGAAAATCACGCGGTTCATTTTCTCCGCCCTAAAATACAGGTTGAAAAGATAAAAAATTAGAAAAAAAAATTAAGTGATAGAAAGAAAGCGAAATTGAGAGGGATGGCCGACAAGGAAATTGGAATTGGTGATGGCAAGAATGTGTTAGTATTTTTGTCTTAACAAACTTGAGAAATGCCTGGACACCCAATCACGAGAAGAACATGGGAAGAACTTCGAGAGAGTAGGGGAAAAAGTAGCAGATTTTATGAAAAAATACATAATGTATCACCAACTGATAAGAGAACCCATTGTGTCGGAATCAACCTCGTTTTCTCTATTCAAAAGACATACACTAGAGAGTAGAAATGCATGAAAAAGAGAAAGAGAGCACCCCCTGTATGACACTATATGTTTTCAATCTTTGCTTTTTCCGTTTTTTTTCTAACACATATTGGCAATGTCACCGGATGCAAGGGAGCACATCTTGTGTTCTGAGCAAAGCATAAAGGATCAAAGTGAATTTTAGAAATACCGTACCGGGGAATAAGATATGAAAAAACGTATTTTCGTTGATTCTCCGCCTTTTTGACTATTTTCAGAAGTCTGGAGCTCGCTTTTCATTTTTTCAATCACTGTGAAATTTTTGGAGGGTGTAAAAGAGATCTTGATTGAGAACTTCGCATTTACAGAATTTTTCAAAATTGATATTTTTTCAGTTTATTGGGGACTTCTGAAAAATACCTCTTTTGGTCCGAAAATTTGAAAAGTATTTTCAAAAATTCTGTGAATGCTAAGATTTCAATCAAAGTTCAATCAAAGTTACACTTTTCAAAAATTTAAAAACGATCGAGAATTTAACAGCCGAGCTCCAAGCTTTTGAAGAGCTCCAAACTTTCAAAATGACTGAAAATCAACTGAAAATTACGTTTTTGTTTATCTTTTACAGTAATCTCTGACATCATTCTTGCTAAATGCATTTTAGGAATCAGAAAAATGCAAAAAAATATGGCCTTAGCTTTTTCTCAAACATTTACACAGCATCCACAACGTGTTGACTCACAATGACCATACAGAACTGAAACTAGAATACTATTGACATTCTGGATGACTATCTATCACAAACTAGAACAAAAAACGACTTCGATCATAGACTGTTTGATCTCTATAACTAACTGTCGTAAAACTACGTGACCCGATAGTTTTGTTATAGAAATTGTGAGTCTTATCAAATGTTGCGGTCGACATACGATTTCTCGCGCTTCTCACCAACTATACACACACATTCACATTTTTTTGCTATCGTAGTCAACGCCAACCAGGTGCAATTCATCGGAAGAGCTAACGTTTTCTCTTTCCTCTATTCATAAAAATGTGTAACTCGAGCCGATTGTAGCGTTTCTGTCTGTGTGTGTGTTTGTATACGTGTGCATATTCAAATGCCAAACGTTCAAAAGGAAGAATTTTTCAAACAAAAAATGAGGGAGGAGGGCTCTCGGGCCCTTTGGTCCCGCCGTTTTGGTTGAAGGTGACTAATGAGCCGTCAAACAAGGCTTGTTGAAACAGAAACGAAAAAAAAAAAAGAAACAGAAGCACTGAACACTACTCATAGAAAAGTAGAAACACCCCAGAAAAAAAATGATGGGGGAGAGGGAGAAGAAGGGGGTAGGGAGAGAAAGCTGTGAGAGCCTCAACTTTTGTGGGTATGGTTGTGGGGTGCCCACTGCAGTTTGGGAGGGACCACTTCCTTTTCTCGGACCACTTCCGCAAAAAGGTTTGGGGGCAGTTGATGGCTGCAAGAAGGCGGAACAGCGTCATAACCTTCGCGCTGCTGCTTTTCAGAATTGCAAAACTTTTGTTGTGTTGCAAAGGCGTTTGTCTTGTTTTCAAAAAAAAAGTTGACATGAATGGATGACACCGGAAACGGGGCGCACATATCCTTTCCAAGAAAATATGAAAATTAAAAAAAAAAATATATTTGGATCAGCAGGAACTACCGACCAAAAAATGTTCGGAATGTCTTTTTCAAATTTTTTTTTTGATTTTCGGGATTCAGAATTCTTAAAATTAAAAAATTTCGGAATGTGGGAATTTCATTTTTCCATTATAAATGCGCAAAAAATTGACAAAAGTTTTGGAAAACGTCTTAAAAGCAGAAAGGTGCTCCGCTCGAGACCCGCAAGAAGCTTTTTGCATGCGCTTTTTACACAAGGTGGTTGAAAAGGGTATAATTTCAAAAAATGGGGAAAATTCTGGTCGGAATCTCATTCTGAAAAAATATTTCGCAAAAATTCGTTCCGTATCTTTATCTAATTTTTTTTGTGTTTTCTATATTTTCGAAACTTCAAATTCAAATCCGAACATTCCTGCTACACACGAGATTAAATATAAGAAGAAAAACTCGTCAAATTTCTAGTTAATGATCAAAAGAAAGAAACAAAATTTTGTTCTTACATTTTACTCTAGTAGCACACACATCATCTTCACTCTATAACTGAGTAACAAAATCGTAAACTAGATGAAAACGACCCCAACTGAAAAACACATGATATCATCTTGTTCTTTGTCATTTTTGACGTAGAGACCAACAACGACATCGGAGGGTTTTTTTCGGGTTAAAATAAAGAATAGAAGGAGAAAGGTCGAGGATGCGGACGATGAAAAAAGAAGAGAGGAAAGAAATTGAGAAGAGTGAAAGGAATTAAACGAAATGAAAAGAAGAAGAAGAAGAGGAAGAAGCGCTCTGGCTTTTTTTCTCTTCTGCATCCGATTTTCTGGAAGACGTCTTGTGAAGAATTAATGTTTATTCTAGGTTCCAATAAATCTCATCTTGAATTCAATAAAGATTTCTCTTGATTTTCTAACGAATCTAACCGAAATGTGTCGATTCAAATTCAAATGTGTTCTACTACCAACACACATCGCGGGCGAAAATGAAATCATCACACACTTTCGCGGGGGCGGAAGAAGAAAGAAAAGAAGGTGTTCTTTTCAAATTTGGAAGAGGATTGAGAGAAAAAAAGAAAGACGAAAAAGGAAATGGAAGAAGAAAAAAACAGCGAGTGACCAATAGGAGTTGTTTTTCAGATAGAAACAACTACTTGCGAAACAATAATTTTTCTCTAAATTTTAAACTTTTTCAACTGATGATGCCACATCATATGATGCGGACGATTGTGTGTGTGTGGTTGTGTTTGAACAACTATGCCTGGCGCCGCAAACATTTGCCAGCTGGTTTTATTCTCATTTCAAGCGTTTCAAGGATCGACGAGTTCAGAATTCAGACAACAATTAATAACCTTAAAACTCGGTTCGAAAATTTCAGAAATTCGGGAATCCTAAAATTAAAGTACAAAAGATACGGAGTGCATCATAGTGCAGAAATGAAAATGATTAAAGTAAACACGGAAAAAAAGGAAGAAAAGAAAAGAAAGTCTGCTGGCCTCTCTCCCCAGCTACTCCTCCTTCTCCGTTTTGTCCTCTTGCATTCACTGCGAGGAAGCAAAAAAAAAGATAAAGCAAATGGAACGCGATGAGAAAGAGACAAGTTGTAGAGGCGCGCAGGAAAAGAAGGACCGGGGGTCGAAGCGTGACCGAGTGAGTGAGAAATGGTGACAATCTATTTGAACTACGGAGCCAAAGAGAACCAAAAAATACGAGGCATCGGTGGAGCACCTTTGCATTTTTTGTTGGAAAATTTTTTTTGTTTATATTTCTCTGTCTCTCTCTCTCTCTCTCTCTCTCTCTCTCTCTTCCGAATTTTTTACGATTTTTCCGCCTAGGACTTGCGTGACCTCTATATCCCTGTTCTTTTCTTGTCGACGTTATCGATTTTCGGAGGATCACATCGTCTTCTACTGCCGAATCATCGAGCACAGCAAGGCTGGTGAGTTTTATATTTTAATATTGACAAAAAAAACTTTGAAAAGAATAAACTACTGCTAGATTTCTGAGTGGTTCAAAGTTCCTAGAATCGCTTTCAACGTTTTTCAGTGATTTTCGAAAGTTGAACGCTCCAGAAAATTCAAATAGATTCTCCAACTTTTATATTGAGATTTTCCAATTCATGATTTACTTTCTCGAAAAATGGTTCAGACACTAGATTATCATCAATCAGAAAATCAAACCAACTGAAGAAATGAAAAGTTTTGTGTAACATATCGGAGATTCTAGAAATGATGAAACTATTTCATCGAAAGTGAATCGAATGCAAAAAAGGACATTTTTTATTGGCAATCTTTGATTGCATGTCGTTGAACATCCAGAGAACGTATTCCGATGATGTCATTTTTGGCGAAGCAAAAAAAACTTGTTTCTAAGGACAACTATTAAATTAAAAAACAAAACAGAGCAAATCAAGATTATTCTAACCGTTCTTTAGCTTACATTAACCTGCAGACTGAGCTCAACCATCTCGCTCCCTTCGAGATACATAAAAACCTGTGAATTGATAAAATATTGGTGTCTTATGCTGATCAATTTTTCAGCCTAAATTTTTTTGAAGTTTCAGAAGGAACCAAGACAATTGTGCTCAAAATGAAATTTACTGGAGAAAATACGGAAATTTTATTTACGATTTTGAGAAATTGTCTGTTAGAAAAAACGACTTACTGTTTTTCATTTCGACGCGATACAAAAAAATCGTTCTCGTTCCAAATGAGATTTTGAAAATTCCTGTTTTTGACTACAATTCGAACATATTACGAAATGACCGAAAAATGAGCATTCAAAATTAGGAGATTTCGAAAGAATGAATGAAAAAAAAAACGAGCGCCTAAAGATTTGGAACTTGTTAGATATACGAAGCGGCGCGGCATAATTATAATATTTCATCATTTCGACTAATTTGGGTCGCTTTTGTTGTTCTCGTAAACTGACACGGACGCCGCTCGCAAGATTTTCAGCTGCCAGTGTTTTTGAATTCGACAATACTGCACTACATTCTTCAATTCGGCAGCTAGTATCTGATAATCTTCGATTTTTACATTATTCGCAATTTGGACGAACCTTTATAATCCTTCTCGACTCAAAGTCTTTCTCATCTTATCTGCTGATAGTAATCAATTCTATAAGATTTCTTGACTTCTAAAACTTATCTCGAGCTCGTTCCTCCTATTTTAAATCCTTCTTTCCCTCCAACAGTTCCCCTTTCCCCCTATGTTCCATTTTTTCAAATTCAAACTTATTGACACTTTCCCCGCGCCAGACTCATTACAGTATCCATAATGACCCATGGCTAAGCAGTAGAGGAGTTCGAATTGGACAAGTGAGCAAAATGTCATATGCATAATAAATTCGTTAATGGGATTCTGCTGCCGAAGTGTAAATACTTTTTATGGAGTCGGTGCCAGGTGATGCCGGTGGCGGTGCCAGGTGACACCTCACAGAATGCCCAGCGCACGAACAATTTGGAAAAAAAGTTGTTGATGAGTACCAGTCACGAGTTGGAACCAATCTGTTGACCGTGTTTCTCTATACCGTATCTCATTTTATAGAGCTTCACTGAGCTAAAAGTGGAAGGGAAAAATACGATATTCGCAATTCAGAGAGATCGCGCAGATGAACGCGTAAAGAACCGAGTTGTTTACTGATAACTAAGCTTCGCCTTTTTTGTCATTAGTCCGGGTATTCTCGGGTGAAAAACTGAATAGCAGGGATCTATTCTACAGTATACAACTTTGGTGTTCACAAGCTCATCCGCGCGGTATTTTTGAATTGACAGTAACCCTTGTGTTTATAAATACCATAATTTGAAAACATGAAAACGTTTCTAAAACTGGAACTGCTTTTTGAAACGAACTTCAGAAATACAAAAAATAAAAACAATTTCAAAGAATCTGAATTTTCATAACAAAAACTGAAATTCGTTTTTTGAAAATGTATTCTAAAGTTTGCGATTTTATTATTAGGTTTGTAGCTGAAAAACTGGAATATTTTAATTGTTCAGAATGGTTGAGGTTACTGTAGCTGACAAAAAAACACGATGGAAAAGGCCTTGAATGTCAAAAAAATTGCAGTGATGAAAAACGCACAGATATTGCAATAATGTACCAGAATTTGTAATGTTGTCAGCTCCATCTCATTTTTGTCTTTCTGATGGACTCGAATTTAAAAATAAGCAAGATGTCAGCAAAACAGTAATACTTCCATGAGTGTGCTGTTTCTCAGGCTTAGATAAATCAGAAAATAAGCATCCCTAAGCCTATTAAAAGTATAAAATATATCATCAACGGTTATTTTTTATAAACCCTCAGAAATATAATCCCTTACACAGTTGGGATTCTGTTACACTATCCCAACATCTGTGAATTTTAAATATCGAGCCTCTATTTTTTCTTGGGACTTCTAAACTTTTTTGGAACCTCTAGTTTTTTTTTTGGGACCTCGAAACTAGAAAAGGGCCCGACAATCTACAATACGTCCAAACGTTACAGCCACCCTAGCTTAACTACAATATATTCACCAGAAATATAAACAAAACCTCACTGATTATGAGCTGCATTCCCCCTCCTAAAGTATAGTGATAGAACTTTTTAATTTAAGTTTTTTTCTGAAAATTAACAGTAGTTTCAAAAATTACAGTAATTCAATTTATCGTATTTCTACTAATAGAAACCTACCTAAACCGTCAAATTTGAGCTCAATTATCGCGATTACTGTAAAAAATTTTAAAACTTTGACAACTGTTAGAATATTGGTGATAATATGATGAGTAAATTATCAGTTGACATTTTCTTGCTATTTTTCATAGAAATCAAGATAATTGAGCTCAGATTTGACGGTGTGGGTGGGCTTATGTCGGAGGGAATACGGTATCAGTGACGTCAAAAACTTAGTCGCAGGTTTTAGTTCTTCACCATAGGTCTCTCTTACAGTAGCTCCACGTTTTCATCAAGTACCGCAGGTGCCGTAAAGACTCTGACAGAACGCCACTTGGACCGTCCACTTTGAGCTTATGAATCTCACTTCTTTTGAAAGATGTCAAAAAATTGTCGATTAAGAAAATGTTTATCATGATATCAGCAAGATTTTATTAGTTAACCTATTTTGATATCTTTCACGGAAAATGGGATACATGGGCTCAGTTTTGACGATTCGGGTAGCGTTCTAGTAGAGTGTTTACTGTAGTTGAATTGCTATGTATACTGTAATACCAGCCCAGTACCACATCCTTAGTCAAAAATGTTTTCTAATCCCTCCCGTTCTACCCTCCCAAAAATCCCTCTGAAACAGAATAAACTAACTTTCGTAAATCATCAAAAGTGTCTCGGTTCCACGATTGACCATCTCCGTCAGATAATATCCATATTCCTGTCCTGCGAAAAAATTTGGCGCTGTCACTGGCATGTTTTCCGGACGGACCACTTTCACCTTCTTTTGTTTGGAGTCCTTCTCGGATTTGGTATCTTCTCCTTTTTTCATCGGAATAAGTTTCGCCTCCATTTTGAACATATCCACCAAAGTTTTCGGAGAACCTTTTTTCTTCAGTTCAGCAATTCGGGCTTCCTCTATTTTCGTTTCTTCTTCACTGTCATTTTGTGCAGTTGCCACTGGTGGAAATTTCGAAAAAATAGTCGGACGTGGGCTCACTGATGAATACCCGGTGTCAGAGTTTTGTCGGCAGCGAGCCTCTGCCTGAGCCGAACTGCAAGGTTCGTTGCTATCATAGCCAAGTTCCAATTGATTCGAAGACGAGTAAGAACTATTTGTCCGGACATAACTCTCTTTTTTGATCGGTTTTGGAGTAGAAAAAACAACTTTGACGCCGTTTGTGACAGAATTGGCAGATGGTTGACGATTTCTTTCCGATGGGGCGAAAACTTTCTTAGGAGACATTGTCTTCTCTGGTGGCTCTTCTGGTAACGTTGGCAGTGGTTTCTTATCCATTATGGCTGATACCTGGAAGATGAAGAGTGAGGATAGGCAAAGATTAGAATTGGCGGCTGTGAAACAGGGAGGCGAGAGGAGAGCCGTTACTATTGGCAAACGGTTATACCAGAAAACTGACTGAACGCGCGACCGGCATCGGCCTTGGGGGCGGAGCTATAGACAGCCGAACTAGAGAGTATAGCTTGTGTTAGAGGGTATGTGTGGATGTTCGTTTCGGTATGGAATAATATCAATTGTGATGAGTTAGAGGCTATTGGAGAGACAACTTAAAAGTAGGAGAAGTACGAAATGTTGCTTTATAAACTTAAAATTTAGTAAGAAAGCAAGCTAAACCAAAAAGCCAAAATGGACGATTTTCATTGGTCAAATTCAAAATAATAAAACTAGGCGTTGCGTTGGTCATTGCGACTGAGGGACACATCTTAACAATGACAAAGTGTAACATTTTTGTGGTCCAACATACACAATGAACAGTCTAAACGTCTTAACCAAAAGTTCAACGTTATTGACGACCCGGTTGTTCATCATATTTGTGATAATAAAAAAGGAGTAAGAAAGTGATAACTGTTCTGGCCATCAGAATCCTTGGTCAATTGTATCTTTCGAGAAATTATTATCGAGATATCAGTCACACCTTTCCTTCCTTTTTTTGTAAGATAAACAGTTTACTGTCCGAAAAACTGAAGTGTTCACCCCTCGTATTCTGAATCAAACGATCATAAGAATCGCATGATTTTCTCTTTTCTGTTGGAAGATCCCCAAAAAATGGTTGCTTTCGGCAAAAATACAAAAGCAAAAAGAAATGCACATCCGGTTCCTCGATAATGGGAACAAAGTCAAAAATCGGCAGCAAAAATCATAAACCATCCAAAAAATTGAACTGTTTGGGGAAGCACGTGGAATACAGGAGGAATATGAAACCACTGTTTTATTGCCTCGGTTTTTTTCTCTTTTTTCACATGTACCAAAAAAAGCCAGGAGGGGTTTCGATGAAATGAACAGAGATTAATTTGTGCGTCATAAAAATCGTTTTTTTTTCTGGAATGATTACAGTATCTAGATTTCCGAAAAGAGACAACGGGTAACAGCTATCTTATTCGCAACAGGAGACGTCTTCTCTACCTTCTTTCTCTAGCACCCTCTTCGTTTCTAGCTCTATTTTTAGGGATGGAGGTCAACATCTGCGGACCGTCTTGTGTGTGTTAGTTGATCGTCTTCTGTTCATAGAACGGACCAGTTTATCGATTTTCTGGTATTTTCTGTCGTCTAAAAAACGCGTTCTGGCACTCGCAGAACAATTTGTAAGCTGGTTTTCAGGTGAGTCTTCAAGATGTATGAGTAGAAAATATTTTTGAGTGGTTTCCCATGTAAAACTTATAGTAAAATACAAAACATCTTATTGGAAAATCCCCATCGATCGTTTGTCCGAAGATTATAATAGTCACACCTTCAGCTTGAGATCTTTGACATTTTTTTCAAAAATCATTTGTCATTATCATTATTATCGGAAAAACTTTCTTCTCCACTAGGCCAACACTTTCCATTTTTCTTGAAATTGACACTCCACCGTCGGCCTGCCCTTAAACAATGGAGAGGAGGGGCGTAAAAACAATAGGGGGAAGCTGATAAGTTTGATAGTGAGAAGAGCCATATGGTGCAACAATGATTTTGTGATGATAACAACTTGAACGCATATATAAGTGGTCTGAGGAAGCGGGTTCTAGTCACATTTCGTACTCTCTATCCCTCCCTTAACAGACATATTTTTCAAATATTCTCATTTTTCAGTGCATGCATCATATCTACAACAACGATCTTACTTTGGTCGCATCGCCGAAAGGAAAAACTCAAGTCGTCACAATGGAAGACGAACAACCAAGACGTGAGAAAAATTTATTTGGTTTTTGTGATGTAGGCAATCTTTTTTTTTCCTTTTCAGAATCGTTCTGCACATGGTTTCACAGTTTGAAAGTTCAAATCTGGATTGCATGGCTTGGAGTGTCCGCTGGTATCATGGCCGGAACCGTATTCGCAATTCAGTATCAGAATTGGATCGCCGTCACCATGTGCTTTGTCTCAAGTGCTTTCGCCACACTGGTTCTTCATCTTCATATGGCTTATAAGAAGACTCAAATGGCTGGATGGTCGTCGACAAAGTTGAAATGCATCGCTGCAGTTGGTAAGTTTTTTTAAACGGTTTATGATCGAAGAACGGAAGTAGTGACCTGTTGATTAAAGTTTTTGAATCAACACTTCCTCTTCCGCCTTCCTCACACTATCATCTGCCTTTTACAAAACTAACTTTTCGACATTTCAGGAGCTACCGTATGCTTCGTATCCTTGATCGCTATGGTCTACTGCTTAGTCGTTGCTGGAATCGAACATCAAACTCTCGACCGCGCCGGACTCATGGGAGCCAACCTCTGGATTGCCGCCGTTTGGTTCATGATGACCGCTAAATGGAGTGCTCTCACATGGAGATTTGCCAGAAAGTACCGTGCCTACTGCGATGAAGAAATCCAGCCGCTGCTTGTCGATTCACCTCCAGAGTACTCTGTCATTGTCTAGAAAGCTCTTCTGATGCATGTACATTATTTTCTCAAACTTGGTATAATTTGATATGTGCAGTCTTAAACTGTTCCATTCAGTTCAAAAGTGAAACAGTGGTAGCTACGGGTAGTTCTCTGTCTCTCTGATTTCATAAATATTTTTTCGACATTTTTTGTGGTTTCTATTCAAAAAAAACTTCCATAAAAAAACGACCATCCTGATAATGAGTCCACTGTGAGTTCTTTCATCATCACGTCCATATGATGCAAGCGTGTAAAAAGTTCTGTATGATAACAACCCCACGTTTTATACTTTCTCTTTTTTTCATACTACATTCTGAACATAATAGGTCGTGTGCGCTTTGTACAACAAGAAAAACTAAAAGAAAGAAAAGAAATGTCATTCCGAAACTTTTTTCTTTTTTTTCGATTTTGATAAATTTGATGGATCACTCTATCGTGATGAGGGGTTTGGATAGAAGAGAAACTGTTCTTGTGATTGAAAAAAGACAATACGAAATACAGTATGATGGATGTCAAAATCAAGAAGAGAGACAATTCCGATGATTAAACGTCGCAGATACTATCTACTAGGGACTGGCATTCTCGATTCTTGGGTTTCAACTAGTGGAACCTTACTACAAGATCACTTTTTATGACGCTTTAAAAAGACTGATAATGACCTACATATCTGGAGCCAGCATCCTTCATCCGTCGTCGACTTTTGGCGTGCACACTTCGATCATTCGGCAGAGCCCATTTTGTCTCAACGATAAGAATCAGAGTTCGAGTTAACATCCATAACAACAACAAACGGTGAAATCATCTCCTAATTCAAGCTTTCTCGTCACTGAAATGTATATCCATTCTAATTCGTCATCTTTGTTAAGAACTACCTATCTTTCTGAATTTCGGTCTAGCGAATTGCATTTTCGGTACTCTGACAACGTATATTGAGTAGCGAAACTTTGAAAAAAAAATCACCTTCAGTTTTGAGTCATTCTTTCCACAAAAAATGGTCATTTAGCAGGGAAATCGATCATTCTGCCGATGAACCAAACATACATAGTGTGGCCAATTTTTGCTGGAGACCTATGAAATCGGTTTATAAAGATAGGAACCGGCTTCAACCTTGTTCCGTTCCTCCTGTGGCTTCATTTCCAACGTATATTTTTTCTCTCAGCAATCTCCATTCAGCTGTGGGTCGACAGAACCAGTGCCAAAGAAAATGACTGCGGAATGACTCATGTTGTAGCGTCCAATCCATTTTCTTTTGAGTTTTGGTAGAATCATCCGCATTACTGGAGTTTTCATAATCGGCTTTCTGAAAACATAATTTGAAGGAAATTCGAACAAATTCAAGCGATATCGCACCACTAAACGTGTTCCGACCGGCTTCGCTTTTTAGGAAAATACTTACTCATTCCAGCGTCTGAACCGACTAAAATGCAGCTTCATAAGATTTCATCGTAGCACCAAAAATTTTGCAAACATTTCCCGTCCGGTAATCGAAAAGGACGAAGTTAAACTTGATAAATCGCATATTTCATCCTGAATTTCTCTTTTGCTCCGATTTCGTGGTCAAAAGATTTCACGAAGTCGTCAAATTTTTCCTGTTGCCGGTAATAATTGTAAGCAGATTTTTAATTTGATTTTTCTCCTGAAAATCCAACTCTAACTGATTTTAGATCCTGAAAACAAAAATATTTTTCACGAAAATCCTCTTGTCCTCGAGGAGTTCAGGGCTAAGTGGTCAAACAACCGCAAACACAGCCACGACACACACGTGATTGCTGCTGCGGCTTGAGTCCCGGCGAACACAGATTTTGTTTCGGATAATATCATTGAAGATGAAACTCAAAATAGAATAGGAAGATTGCATGATACACAAAAAAAAACAATAGAAAACTATTTCGTATGTTTGTATCCAATAAAAATCCATTTCATTGATTAAACAGTACAACAAAAGTAGATGAAAAGGAGAAAAATACTAAAAACGTCAAGTGCCTAGTAGAGGGATCTTGATCATATCCTGTTCTAACCAAGTTCCTCGTCCTCATCTCCTGTAATCGCCAAAAAACTTGAAATCCAAGCTTATCAACAGATGTTCAAACCAAATTAAGGGCGTTCCACAAATGTCGAATTGTAAAAATTTGTTCGACAACCTGCTAGATTTTCTTTTGCTTCTATCTAGACGCATCAATAAATATCCTTCCAATGTCTCAATTCTGTCGAGATAATCTCGTACACAAAAGTTTGAAATAAAAACTGTTCTTTTTTTGGAAGATACAGTTACTCGCTTCTTATGTGCTGTAAACTACGAGACAAAATTCGTTCATTGTTTTCTTTCATTATTTTCTCAGATTTTCTGGATTGTTGTAATCGTCAATTCTGTCGGAAATAAATCGGATAACATTCGATACATACAGATTCATTTTTGGCACTGAAAAGTATTTCAGTGTATGTTAGGCAAATGAAAAGAAAGATAGAAATAAGAGAAAGCATCAATATGAATCTGACAAAGAGGAAACGAACAACCGAAAACTGCGTTTATTCTGTTTGGTGCATTTTTAATTGGCGCAAAATCAATGAAATGAGAACGCACACAACAATGAAAAATAAGGAAAATTTACAATATAAAATGAAAAAAAAAACAAAAATTTAAAACAAGATCTTCAAAACAAAAAAATGGGAGTTAGAAAAATGAGAACCAAGAGAAAGCTAGTCAAAATGGTAAAAGATGTGATTACAAATCATGTGAGAAGGAACAAGAAGGAATAAAACAAAGAGGGATAGCAAAGAACACATTATTCCAATCAGTTGTAGAATCCGGTGTCAATCTACTTATCGGCTGACGATGCAATGGAATCCGACGACGTCGCTTTTGATTCAATTTCTTTGGTTTTCACGCGCTTTCCATTATCCGTAGTTGCACTGTGATGTCTTTTCTGGGTTCGTATGGACGAAGCTGATTTCGCAATTTGTGGAAGTCCCTGTTGAACGGAATCCGACGAAGTCGCTTCTGATTCTATCTTTTCGGTTTTCACATGCTTTCCATTATCCGTAGTTGCACTGTGATGCCTTTTCTGGGCTCGTGTGGACAAAGCTGATTTAGAAATTTGTGGAAATCCCGGGTACACCCCCTTCTGATTATCCAGCTCCTCATAATTGATGCGTCCATTAAATGCTCCTTGACTGACATCTACTCCGAAATCAATGTAATCGTCTACTTCCTGTTTTATCGGCTGCTCCACTACTTCCTGCTTTGGCTCTTTCAGAAACGAAATATCTTCAGTTGGTTCTTTTTTGACTTTTGCATCAGTTACTTCTTGCTTTGGTTCAATTAAAATATTTGCAACTGGTTTCTCCTTGACTTTCTGACAATTTGGACCTGGATTCTCATATTCGATGTCTTGCTGTTCTTGTTCTTTTTCTCGGGCCATGCTGTCGCTGAAAAAAAACTGCTGATAGAACCTCACAGTTAAATGAAACGTACTCATTCACACGTTTCGTAAATGGACTATTCAGAGAGAGGACTCCATGAAAGTATTTCACATCACGGTGGTGGTCAGAAAACCGAACAACGTTTCCATTTTCTGTGGAAAAACGACTGATTCTTTTTCTTTCGTCCTGTTCGATTTTGAACTTTGCGTCTTTCAGCCTGCAAAATTTTTTCATTGGCCGACTATTGTTAAAACCTACTTACAGTTTCACAAATCCATCACTGACTGGTTGACTGAAAATAAAGACCAGCTGTAACTTCTCCATCAATGAATATCCTTCCAATCGCTCAATTCTTCCGAGTTTATCTCGTACACTGAAGTTTGAGAATAATTGTTCTTAATATGAAGATGAACCCACTTACCTGCTTCTCATACAATTCAAACTTCGAGGCGAAAATTCCTTCAATGCTTCCTTGCACCATTTACTCAGACTTTCTGGCTTTTCGTATATGCCGATTCTATCAGAAATGTATCTGATGACATTCCTAGCAGCGGAAACTTCTGAACTTGGGTTTTCATTTGCCACGTCCTGCTGACCTTGTTCCTTCTTTCTTGACATCCTTTTGCTAAAAAAGGTTGATTATAAAATCTCATAATTGAAATCAAACGTACTTTTTAACTCTTCTCGGCTGTGAATTATGCAGACATTGATCGCCTTGAAAATATTTCAAACCCTGGTTGTGTTCGGAAAATGGAACGATCCTTTTATCTTCTGTGCAGAAACGACTGATTCTCTTTCTTCCGTCCTGTTCGATTTCGAACTTTGCGTTTTTCAGCCTGCAAAATGTTATTATTGATTTTCTAGTCTCATAACAAACTCACGTTTGCACAAATTCGTCGCTGACTGGACGACTAAAAATAAACGCCAACTGCAATTTCTCTATTAACGAATATCCTTCGAAGTTTTCGACTTTGTTGAGCTTCCTTCCAATTTGATGGGCCATACTGAAATTTCAAAAATTACGAAGTTACTATTTATGAAAACGACTGCTACCTTCTTGCATTGCGTCTCAACGTTCTGCGTCTCGAAGACCAAGCATATCTGCAGGAAGGCATTTCTTTCATAGCCTTTTCGGCCCATTTAGACAAATATTCGGGCTTGTTGCAATCGGCAATTCTGTCGGAAATGAATCGGATAACATCCGACAAATCCGCAGTCATTTTTTCCCCTGAAAATTATTTTAGTGTAGTCCGGGCCTTTGCCGGGCATTTGCGGGCCCTGCCATAACTTCTTTCAGAATCAATATTTTCGAAGAAACTAAATCAGATATGATAGAGCTCCACGAGTATTACAAAACGGTATTATTTGGAAAACTGTATCTTATCAATGAACAAAGTTACAGATCATAAAGTGGCTTTTCTCGCAGGGCCCGGCAGCCGGGGCGGGCCTGTTTTTTTTTGCTCCTTTTGCTCTGTAACTTTGTTCATAGATAAGATACAGTTTTCCAAATAATACCGTTTTGTAGTACTTGTAGAGCTCTATCATATCTGATTTAGTTGGTTCGAAAATATAGATTCTGAAAGAAGTTATGGCAGGGCCCGCGAAGGCACGGCAAAGGCCCAGATTACAAGTATGTTGAACAGTGAAAAAAAAATACGATAAAAATGATAACATATGATCAAGGAAAGAAGTCGAACGAACCAAAACTGATATTATTGTGTTTGGTGCCTTATTAATTGACGGAAAATCGATAAAATGAAAACGCACACAACAGTCAAAACAACTTTGAGATGACAAAAAAAAACAAAACTTTGAAGCAAAATTTTTGAAACATTTTGGAAGTGGGAACTAAGAAAGATCTGGTTAAAATAAATGATGAGAAATGTGCATATAAATTATGTCAAAACGGGGCACAAAAGATTAAAAACAAAGCGGGTTCTGTCTGTTTTCAAATAGCAGCAGCAAATACGTGTGTGTGTCGTGGCTGTGTTTGCGGTTGTTAGCCTATTCGCCCGTGTACTCCACGAGGACAATCGTATTTTCTTGTAATTCTACGGTATTTTTCATATTAATGCATGCGCCTTTAAATCGTATCTCACAATTTATATGTTTTCGGCCGAAAATTAGATGTTTTATGTTTTTTAAGAGAAACAAATTAAAGTTTGATAAGATTGGGACAAAAATGGACGAGAACTAGCAAAAAATTGATGGAAAAAGCAAAAGTTAAAATAAATGGTGAAGTAAAGGCACATGCATTAATATGAAAAATACCGTAGAATTACAAGAAAATACGATTGTCCTCGTGGAGTACACGGCCGAGTAGACTAACAACCGCAAACACAGCCACGACAAACACATGTATTTGCTGCCGCTATTTGAAAACAAACAGAAATATCGGAAAAACTGTTTTTCGTTTTGCATAATCGAATGGAAAATGAAGATATTATAATGATTGAAAAATGACTAGACACCAAAACAAAGAAAAAGTAAAAAACACCCAATGTTTCGGAAATAAATAATTTCTTCGAGTAAACGGGAATTCAAACAAGTAAGTTTTGTTAGAGTCAAAATGTATGAATATGGAGAACGATGAACGATTGTGTTGAAAAACTCGTCGTCAATGATCTACTTGTTGTCGCGGATTTTTGCGAAATGGCCGTCTGTCTTTGCGGTTTTCTCTATTCTGACGGTTGTTGTAGCGTTTTCTGCAATAATCATCTTTGTGCGGGAAAATCGATAGTTCAGCTACCTGATTGATGCATTTCAGGCAATTAAGCCTAATCAAATGTCAAATGGCCATCGAGTCTTCTTCCCAGCTACACCGGTACTGCTAGTGTCAGTGGACACATTGCACTGGCCTGAAATTAGTTATTTCCCTTGAACTTCAGGCGATTAAGTCTAATTGGAAAGTCAAATGGCCATCGAGTCTTCTTCTCAGCTACACCGGTACTGCTACTGTCAGTGGACACATTGCACTGGCCTGAAATTAGTTATTTTCGATGCATTTCAGGCGATTAAGCCTAATTGGAAGGTCAAATGGCCTGTCTTCTGCCCAGCTACACCGGTACTGCTACTGTCTGCCGTGAGCTTCATTCTGTTTTTTTAGAATACAAGTATCATTCACAGTTACTTTTTTTATCACCCGTTTCTGGCGTCTGTAAATTTAAATTGACTAATCCGTTTAAAAATAGATTGTCAGTTACAATTCAAAGAAACATGATTACTTTGTAATGGACTTTTCTTCTTTGTAGCATTGTTTTGAAAAAATAAGAATTGAAAAATATCAAAGTGGCATAAAAAAGTTTGATTATTGCAGAAAAATGCTGCAGTTTTATATGGTGAAATGATCAACGATGCTCTTTCGTTTCACTCAGCAAAAATCCGGAAAGTTGAATCTCGTGTGGATACGAAGAACGAATTTGTCGAAGAATCTCGTTGTCAATAGTCAAATTGTGATCGCAGATGTCTAACTTGCGCTGAAGCTTGTCTCGATCGTTTTCCAACTTCTTCCGACTTTCCTTGGCCTTGTCTGCAAAATAATTACGACTACGTATGAGATAAAAACATGATTATGACGTACCCAATTGATTCTCAAGACTCAAAAATGTCCCCTTGAGCATCATCAACTCTTGATGAAGAGCATGTTGTGCTTTATCGTTACACAACTCGATTCCTGGACGGAGCCCACGTTGATTTTGACGAGAGAGCGCAACTTGCAATGGTCCACTTTTTTGCTTCAAGCTGAACGAGATTTCTTCAATGGCACCATCGGCATTTTTTATTTCCTTGTCTTTTCCGTTGACCTGAAAAGTGTTTGTTTTATCACACTGCGAGACTTGAAGTAACCTGAGAATGCAGATTGTCCTTCCATTCTTGCCAGTTTCGGACCGAATCCTTCAGAAGAGCCTCCACGGCAATCGCTTCGGTACGCAACTGTGACGCCAATTCTCTAAGCGACTGACACAACTTCTAAAGAGTGAAAAATCTTTTCAGTGGCTTAATGAAGAACAAACCTGTCCAATTTTTCGACTATGTACTCTTGCGCGAGCCGCGTAGTTCAAGTTGTTTCCAGTATTCTCAATCCATTCCGAGTACTCGCTCATACGTTGAAGAGGAGCACCTTCGCTGAAAATATTTTACTTCAAGCAGTTTTTAGAAAAAAGCTTACCGGAAATCCAAGCGATCACCATCTGGAGTTCGAACCACCGTCTTTGTTCCATCAGCTCCAATAGCGACAGACTTGTGATCCAAACTTATCGCTTCTTGCTTCAAAGTCAAATCACGGAGAAGATTCTTCCTAGCTGCCTGGTTCACTTCCAGCTGTCTCTCCACACGCTCTCCAACTTCCTTCATCTGTTTCACAGTCTCTGACATTAACTCCTTCTCCTTATGAAGCTCCATATCAACTCTATCAGAGGTGTGGTCCCCAACTTGAACCTTTTTGCGGCGGACAGCGAGACAACTTTCGTTGCACCGAGTTGCTCGACCAGTGATATCCAAACAGAGTTGTAGACGTCGGTAGCAGCGAAGAAGATCGTCGTGCTCTTCCTTAACATCCGCAAGCTCTCTGAAATTTTCCAATCCGCCAAGAAAACTAAAAATGATATCGAACCTATCAATTTCTCCGCTCCAATATTTCAAATCTTTCACTCGTTGCATCAACTGCTGGGTAGTCTGTCCCTGCATTCTTGTCGCTCGCATGTTGGCTTCCTTGACTGCGAGACGAGCCATTCGCACGATCTCAATTGGATCATCGTACTCAGTTCTCTGAAAATATATTGTCAGCATTCAAATGATTAGCTTTGTGATTGGCTTTGTTGTGTTCAAGAGAGGAAAAAAAAATAATTACCCGTGCCATTTTCGAAAATGTCGAGGAAATTGCGGAAGACGACGCGCCAAAGATTCAGAAGTAGCGACTGACTGAAGTTTTGAGCTGTACTCAAAGGTTTTGGAGCTCGACGAACCACACATCCGGTGCAGGGTCCATAATTGACGTCAATTTCACACTTGAATTCGTTTTGTAACGTACCCCGGATCCTCGAAAATTGGTCATCAATGCGTGAAATATTTTAAGTCTTCATTTCTCCTCAAAAAATGCAACTTTTCCCGTAAAAATGTATAAAATATGTATTGTTATTATTGGAAAAATTGTTCTTCTTCACGAGTAGTACACGGCCGCGCGGACTAGCGACTGCGAGAGGACGCGGAAGTTTCGTGATGGGATGGGATGTCTATCAAGACGGAATCCAAATATATGTTTATTTTTTGCGATTCAAAGAGTAAATTGTGGATTTTAAAATATTTAGATTTCTGGGATTTCAGTAAACAATAGGAATGAGAAAAGAATTTCACAGCAAGAATCGTATCAAATTGTTTTCAGGAGACATGAGAAGAGATGAGAAGCAATCGGGAATTATACAGAGAACCGGGAGAGAATTTCAAGTTAGGGCCGAGTAATTTAGCTGCTGTGGGACCGACGGAAGCGGAGTGGACAATAGTTTCGGTTGGTCGAACCTGAAAATGTTGCAAATTTTCATGAAAAACCCGCCGTATCGGTGCAAAAATCGGTGAAAATCGCCGCTAAAAGCATTTTTCCCCGACTCACGTGGGACACGGACCAATCCACGTCCGTGGATCATTTGCCACTCGTGGTCTTCGTCTCTGTAAGAGACTTCGTTCTGATAGAACATACGATTGAACATTTCTTCGCGATACTGCTGCTGGACAAGTGTGGTCTGCTCACCGATTCGATCTCTGAGCACGTCGAGACGCTGCCGGATGTTGTGAATTCGAACCGATTCGTAGTAGTCGGCGGCTTCCGCTGGGCTGAAAAATGAACATATTGGTTATGAAAAATTACAGAAAAAATACCAAAAGTGTGGTGGCATGATTGGTTGTGGCCCGAAGAACACGACGTCTTCGTCTCCTGGCTGCTTGCGTTGTTGAATGGACCAGAAGACCATCTCATGCATGTTCTGTTCGTAACGAATGTCGTGCTGCGATTCTTGCTCTGCAAAATGCATATTACGGGTATAGCCAAGCTAATTCAAGCGTTTTCGAAAAAAAAAAATCGGATCTGCTCTAATAGAAGCCCACCCTATACGCGCACTTCGATCTCAATCATCTATGTTCTTCTAAGAGATATCAAAAGAATGTCAACTAACAAAATATTGGTGATATTACGATAAATAATTTATCAGTGGAAACGTTTTTGATATTTCTCAAAAGAACCGAGATTATTGAGTTTAAATGTACGTAAGGGGTAAGCTTTTATTTGAGACAATACGGCAGTTTCGGGAAAAAATTTTGTAGCGAAAACTCGATTCCTCAAATTATAAAAAAATAAGTAAAGAACTATCTCAAACTCTGGTTCAACATTCAGCAACCTTGTAATCATACATTTTTTGAAAATTTTACCTGGATGACGTCTCAAATATTCCTCCGCCTTTGCTTTCATTTCGTGATGAATCTCGACCTCCTTCACTTGAGTTCGACACTGGAAACATCTATTTGAACAGCTTCAATTCTAGACTTTTCGGTTACCATTGGGCAATAAGTACAGCTGGCAAGCCAACGTCCACCACAGCCAGCGCAAATTGTGTGGCCGCAGCGAACAAAAATGAATGGTTCGCGGTTGACATGAAAGCATACATTGCACTTCACATCATCCAGTTCCAAGTTGGCCATCATGTGCTCGATTGCCTCCATGATAGATTCTGACAGTCGAAATATTGGGTGAGAGATGAAATGAGTCAGATGGATATACGGATAACAAAGAGAACAGAATTTTCAACATGTGTATAATAAATTGTAGTACAGTACACTGTTTTGTATTTCACATTATAAGAAAATGTAGTGAATTACATAAAGATTGTTATATGCTCCTATATTATGAAACAGAATAAGCTAAGGCTCCAGAAACCACACACGTTGATCCGCTGAGTTTATGAGCTATTGGGCAAGCAGCTCCAATCAAAACCACTCAGTATAATTGAGAACTGGCAGAATATATAGAAAACAACTTATTTCTAGAGGAAGTGGAAAAAGTGAATTCACTCGAAAAGTGCTTTTGAAGTTGTGCATGTTGTTCTTTTTCAAAGACATGCAAAAACGCATTTGGCACTGAGAAGACGGAAAAAACGAAGCACCCCAAACCAATAAATTTGTAGAAGGCGTGTTCATTTGAGGACGACTTCACGACATCCCTCAAATTTTCATTCATTAATGAAAGTGTGGGTTGAATACTTTGTGCACTCCCTGGGAAGGACACAAAATTTCGGAAAAGCCAAATAGACGAAGAGGTTTTAGAGGGACGTTCACAGTTGACTGCGTTTTTTCTGTGCTCACAGGGCGATGTTCGAGAGGCAAAAAGGACAGGATGAAAAAAAAGGAAAAAGGAGAATAAGGGCACATCCACTTCAGAACGTAAGCTGTCTGGTAGTTGAGCACCTTGAATTTTTTTTTCAAAGAAGATGAAGAAGAAGAGAAAAACTGAACTAAGAGAAAACTAAAATTTCTGAATGTTCATGTTTTAAGCAAGATTTTTGGAAAAAAAGCTTTCAGGCCACCGGAAGCCAAGGTTGCAGGAAGACGAAATTATCTGTGGGGTCAAATAACTGAATGTTACTCTGATGGAAGTTTTAGTAAGCAACTAGCATCCCACTCAAGTTCCCAATGCAAGCAAATAATATGCACTGACCATTTGATAGAGACTGATAATAAGACAAACACAGAACCAGTCAATAAGATATACAAATACTTATTTTCAGTTGATTTTCGACTATTTTGACCATTATCAGGAGTTTGGAGCTCGGCTATTAATTTTCTGATCACTTTAAACTGTTTAGATGGCGTAAAACGAACTTAGATTCAAAACTTTGCATTCACAGAAATTGTTTGAAAATTTCTAGTTTTTCAGCAATTTGCCGGTTTTTGAAAGACATCTGTTTCCCTTGGCTTCAGTACAAAAGCGGGCCGAAAAGAAGTTTTTCAGAAATTGGCAAATGTCAAAAATAGGTATTTTCAAAAACTCGGCGAATTCAAAGTTTTTAATCCAGTTTTGTTTTACATCCTCTAAAACTTTTGAACTGATTGGAAACTTGACAGCAAAGCTCTAGACTTTTGAAAATGGTCAAAACGGCAGAAAGTCCAAAGAAAAATTTTCGTGAATATTATTGGACGGTAGTGTATGTTTTCCTCCTCATTTTTTAAAAATCAACTAATGATCAACATTCAGGAAAAACTGCATAATAACAACCATAAAAGAAGGCTAAAAACAAGAAATTTTCCACTAAAAGGCTTCCCTAGATACACTTGTCGAATATGAGTCTGGCTCTTGAAAATCCAAACGCTCATATTACTAAATAAATTATGACCTCATCGACTTCCTGAGAACTATTTCGTCGTTTGCTCTAAGTGAGCAGAACGAGATGAGAGCCTCTGAGCCAGGAGTAGGAGAAAAAAAAAACTTTGAAGGATTATCTAAGAGAAATGTATACCGGGGAGAAAAAAAGAAAAATGATGGAGGAGTCGAGCCGACGTTGCTTCTTGATTAGGACATTGGAGTCTTCTTTCTACGTTGTTTTTCGGAAATCTTCAGGGAAAAGTTATCTAATGGATTTGAGAAAATTGAAAAAAATGGTGAGAAGAATGAGAAAGAAATAGATCTTTGCAAAATGCGAGAATAATGGGAGAGCTTGTTGAGATCGAGAAAAAAAAGAAAAGAGTTCTTTATTCTTCTTCTTCTTCTTCTTCTTCGTCGTGAGAAATATAAATATTGTAGGAACGTATATACTCCTTGCATGCCATTTCTTCCCTTCTCAAATCCATAAATCCTATAAACACTACAAAAGAGGATTCCCAGACATGACGAAAGATGTCGAATTAATATAAAAAGCGGAGAAACGTCAATCGGAAGCGCGGTTGCTGTTTGTCTTCTGAATGTGACTGCAAATTTATGACGGGAAAAATGAAGAAGATTTATTTGAGGACGAAGACGACAATGACGAGAATAAACCTTGTGAGGGTATATTTCTTCTGTCCGGAGCAGCTTTTCATATTTCAAAATAAACCAGCACATCAGATGTCGTATGCCCAACACTAGTTGCATCTTTGAAAACCAAAAATTGGAAGTTCAAGAAAATAACACTGGAAGCAACTAGAAAATAGGCTGTCATGAGAACGCTAAATATCGAAAATAAAAACTCAAAGCAGACAGCCATGTTGTTCTCACAATAATGAATAAACAAACGTCACAATGAAAGTTCTTGAAAATATATTCCGCGCACCTCAGAAAGGATTTGCATACTAAATGTTGGCTCAGCAAACTTGAGAACCTAGTCGGCGGATTTGGCTCTCGAAAGTTTTAGGTGTTCCCACAGAGTGCTTTTCAAGAAAATTTCTGGATTTGGAAGTGTATATGTCAAGAAGTCGGAGCAAAAACTTCAAACGACTGTGTTTAGAAAAAATGGATTTGTTCGATCTCTGGGGATAACAGGTTTTGAAATCAAATAACTGCTACAACGGATTGATAGGGGTCATAAACGTGATAAGGCAACATTATTTTTATGAAAAATCGTTTGCCGGCAACTACCGTGAACGCTATAACTCAACGTCAGTCCTACCTTATAATTCTGAGCCAGTTTATGTCTATTTCTTTAAAAGTTATCAAAAAGTAGTCCTCTGACAAAATCTTTAAATATTATTATAAGAATTTTATCAGTTAACTACTTTTTGATATTTTTCAGAGTAATCGAGTTAAAACAGCTCAAAGTTGACGGTTTGGGTAACGTTTAGTCGACATCTCAGACTCTCCATAATTCGGAAATTGAGTTACTACAACAATTCCCACAAAATTGGGTCGAACACAGAATAACTGAGCTGATTTCAGAACATTTTCAACAAAATTTCTTGAAAATTACTGGCTTTAAGAAGGATTCATGGCTCACATGATACGTAAGCTATAATTATTTTCTATAGAAAATTGATATATGCGTAAAGTTCGAAAAATTGTTGCTTAAAGGAGGTCAGACACCAAAAAAAAATTTTCCTGATATTTTGCATAGAGAACCTCCATGAGGGGTTGAACTCATGACTGGCAGCTCAGGGGTACAGCGCCGCTACCGGCTGAGCTATGAGGGCGCGTAGGCGCCTGACGACCGATGGGCGCGATTTCGTCCCCCGAACTGCCCCCGAAATTTTTGCTGTCTCGCCTCCTTTAAGAATTTCACATGATGTTAGAAAGTTTAAAAAATGATAATAACTTGTTTACATGGTTAAAAATCAAAGCTCACATAGAAACTTTCAATAGAATACCGTAAATGTTTCAACAGAAGCCCATCCTCTATGTGCAATTTGATCTTAATTATCTCTATTTTTGTGAACGACGTCAAAAAGTGGTCAACTCACAAAATGTTTAACATATAAGCAAAAAAGTTTCAGCAGTTAACTAAGCTTCGATGTCTTTTTCAGAATCAAGCTCACACTTAAGCCTGATCTATGATATTCTGATAAATCAAGCTCACACTTAAGCCTGATCTATGATATTCTGATATCCCGAAACATCTCGTCAGCAAAAATCTGCCAGAAACCTTATCAAGAATATAATCACTAATCTTTATATCCTAATCCGACTGCAAATAATGAACTATAGTGGGACTTTCAACAAAATCAATCCTAAATGTCTTGTCGTTTTGAACTCAAAATCAAACGGCACAGCGGGAGTGAAAAGGTGGCTAAATGAACCGAGAAACAACGGGAGAAGGACTTTTGAGCAACAGGGCAATTGTAACACAAAGCATATTGAGAACGCGGGAGACTTTGGGAAAAGAGATAATTGCATCCGGGACCACGAGAGAACATGTTTTGAGGTTTTGACTCGTTCTCAGACGTATCAAATGTCCAAACATATTGTGAGAAACTAGGCCCCCGATTGAGTCCTTATTAAATTTGAGCGTTTGAGATTCGTTTATGTCGTCTGGTGTATAAGAAATTAGGCACCTTTCAATAATTGGGTTTAGCTGAAACACGAGACCGTCCAAATGTGATTCGATGACAAATTCTTCAACCCACAAACATACCAAAATGCTTAAAAACGTCAAAAACATCACAAATTCTTTGAGCTCGTTTGTCTTCTGGTACTTGAGAGAAAGGGATTAAGAAATCTGTGGAAGACTAAAAAAAATGAGAAAGGAAGGAAAAGAAGAACAAGGAAAATGTGCACTTCTTGGTGTCTCCGACTCACGCGTGTCCCACCGGTGTAAGAAGAGAAAAATGGGCTCTCTCTCTCTTGGAGTAAATGAGTGTGTGAGAATAAGAAATTATAATGAACACATTCATATATTGGCCAAAATATTTATTACTCTGAAACGAGAAGGATAGAGAAAATGTGTATGGAAGGGTTCGTTGAAAGGACAAGAAAATGGGACAGAAAATTGATCATATGAACATCGATCCATAGATAAAAATTTAGGAAAAAAAAGATGCAAGGAATGTGGGAGAAGCAGAGAAAAATTGGTGACGTTACCAGGAAAAAGTACGAAAAAATTTCCTCGAGACCTGTTAACCAAATTACAGACGTAAATTTGATTCAATTTGCTTTCCATGTTTTTTTGGTCACAAAGTTTGGTTTTGTTTTTGATAATCTAGAAAATTGTTGGGGTTTGAGAATCCCAGAAAAATAATTGTTTCCCAGAGAACGAAAAATGATTTCAGAGAAAAAAATTATGCGTTTTTTTTCCAAATATGCGTTGTAGGCGTGAAAAGATTCTAATCTCTGACTGAAGCTCACTTTCTAAATTCAAGACAGTCGTTGAAATCTAGAGAGAGAGGACGATTGGTCGCTGGGAACCGCACTACAGAACCGTTAAAAAGCGGAAATGGTAAGGGATATGAGGAGGCAAAACATTTGGAATGAGAGAAGAAATTCAGGAGAAGTGACAGTGGTTTTTTTTGTAATAATGGAGACAAAAATAAAGAAGAATTGACAATGTTTCAGAGAAATGAAGAAATGGAGGAAGGCAACAAATGTAAGGATGGGATGGAAAAATAGATACAAGCGAAATTAGACACCAGGATATTGAATTCATTCCGTTGGTTGGTAAAGGGGGAATGTTGAAACCGGAAATGATACAGAAGCACTCGAATAGGATACCAAACCATAATTGTTCCACCGTACACATCAATCCTCATCGGAATCTCCACCTTTTCCCTTCAAGTTTTAATTTGATAATGATTATTGAATATCAATTCTACGCAAATCATCTTCGACAAATCCCGGCCGCAACTTACCCTGTTGATCTTGTCGTCCAACATACGGAAGAAGTCAGCCTGGCTCGCGCTTTCTACCTCACTGAAAAAAAAACATTTTCTGATTTTCTTTTTTCCCCAAATTTGAAGTTTCCCAACTTTGAAAAAGAATAAGTCCCCCATTTGGGTATAAATCTCTTATGGTGCCGTCTAAGTCTTTTATGGGATCTCAGAAAAAGAGATGAGCCACAGTATACCCCATAAACTTAAAGAGCCAATTCTCGTTTCTCTTTCAGTAAAAACATTTCAACCCGTGGGCGTTTTAAGTCCTCTCCAACGATTATGTGGATCTAAAATTCCATTTTTCCGGTAATTGAATTATTTTTTTCTTGGTCAGACTACAGTAGATGGAAGGGTCATTGCTTTTATGAGCTCCAAAACAAAATTTTTAAAAACGCCTAGTGGAAACGTCGTAAAAATACAGTAGGCTTGTAACAAATTTAATTTCCGAGTTATAAAATTTGGAAAGCAATTATATGGCCATGGAGCTTTATTTGGAGTTGTAGAAGTCAAATTCATTTTCTACGACTACAGTAATTATGAGGTAATATGGGATGACAGATGAGCCATAAACCAGGAATTGATAGTGAAACCGTCGAGCTCAATAATCCCGATTCCTTTGAAAGCTATCGCAAAGTTGTCAACTAATAAATTATTGATCACAGTACCACTAATAATTTTTTAGTTCACAAAATTTAGTTATCGTTCACAGGACTCGAGATAATTGAGCTCAAATTACACGTGTGTGGCGAGCTTTTATTATGACGTTTTGTTAATTTGGAGACGATTTCCTTGTTTCCCGCGAAGGATAAAAGAAAAATACTCAACTATCAAAAATTTCCTTATAATACCAAAAATATCCTGTCAGTTTAAAATTTTCTGATATCTCTTACAATAACGGAGATAATTCAGGCAACTTCGACACTAATCCCTACCAGTACCCTATTTGCGAGAAAATTTTTTTCCGGTTCCTTTTAGCAACCATTCTCGACTACTCTGATTTTCTTCAGAATATTTCGCCTATCTACAGTAATCCCTCATCCCAAACCTACATGATTGGCTTTCCAGCAATTTGTAAGACATTGCCGTTGTTGGCGCTACGAAGCTCCTGAGCTGGTGCCCGGCTAGCTGGAACTGCTTTCTTTACCACTGGCTCTGAAATAGCAATTCACACATTACAGTAACTTTCTACTTCAACTCTACCTCTCTCTTTCTCCATGTTTTTACGGATGTCTTCGGTGGACGATGTGCGAGAGAAGTGACAGCCCATACTGTTAAGCGAGATAAATGCAGAATCACAAATAAAGCTGAAATATATAAATGCCAGACCGATTATACTTTGTCAATTCAATATCTGCAAGAGTTGACAATGACGCAGGAACGGAACTAAGACAACAACAACTTTCGAGCATAATGCGCATGATAAAAAGGCTATGGGAACTTGCAATTTTCTGTGTTTAGGGAGAAAAAAGAGAGAGGAAGCCAGCGATTTACTGACGGAGTGCCTATACTTGACTGAAAAGGAACGTGAGCCTGTGTGACATATTGAAGAGAAGGAAGAGTGAGAAAAATGAATGGAGAATGAGGCGAATGCTCCGTTTAACGGACAATGCACTGATTTGAAAAGGCGATGAGATGACAATTGTTATGGTGATGGTGGCAAAGAAGAAGTATAAAGGGAAGAATATTACCTCCTATTCATGTGAGAGTGAAACCATCGAAGAAAAGTGCGGCTAATTACGAACGTTGTTGGATACATCTTCTCTTTTGTGCGGGATGTTTTCAATGGGAAGTGTTCAAAAAATCACTCGACACCATTTCAGTTTTTTAGAACTAGAAAGTGAACCCCCTTCCCAACGCCTCTATTGACTCCTAAAGTATCATAGAAAAGTCAAAAGAAAAAAAAAGACCCAGTGCCACTTGAGAAATCACGTCATGAAACGAGGATGATCGCGTCGTCCATTTTTAATTACGAACCCACGCCAAAAGACACAGTGAAGATCTATTGAATCAGAAAAAAAAGCGGACCTGCTCCGTACCAACTAGGTCAAATGATACTGGTCAATGGATTCTGAAGGCGTCAGGAAAATCTAAGTGGGTGATTTTTTTCCCTGGGAGTGCTTAAAATGAGAAGTTCGTGAAACGGAAATTGGCGTCTTCTCAATTCCTTTTCTTTTTTTGGAATCAAAAAGAGAAACAGAAAAGAGAACCAGCAAAAAAAGAAGGTGGGTGCATAAAAAAATTGTGGACGCCGAAACTCTAACCATGTTTTTGCATTCTTCCTTCTTCGAGCTTTGAGGAAGAACGCCCCACCCACATTTTGGAAGATTGAAAAGGCAAAGAAGAAGAGAAATTGAACCGAGGCAGCAGAAATGAGAAGTGAATGGTTTCAAAAAAAAGAAAGAAAAGTGGGCGGAGTTTAGCGGATGGCAAGGCACGATCGAGACGATTAGCTCCGATTAGAGTTGTCAAAAAACCGCATAAATTGGAGAAGGGAGGAGCCGGCATACGGTAGATAATTTGCCATGAGAGCACAAAGAACTTTTCGCAGAATGGTTTTCACGTGACTCGAAATTTTCTAAGTTTCAGGGTTAGAAAAAAAATCAAAATACCTAAGGTCAGCTTTCAACTTGACACCAACGGCAAAATTTGATCTGACACTTATGAATAAATTTTCTATCTCCGATTACTTTTTTCACTTCCTTGCTTATTATTTTCCCAAGAAAAAAAATATACATATAAGAAAATACTAGACTCATTCTAAAAAGAAAAGACAATAAAAAGACCTCCGAAAAAGAGAGGAAAAGAAAAAACAAGAGACTCGAAGAGCAGTTCAGGAACTTTGAAGCGGGCCAGAGAATTGAGCTATTGAGCCACATTGCTCACCCGTCTCGGAGAACAAAAAAACACGTGGTCCCCTGGATTATTACCGTCTTCCTTCCTAGGAAATGCTCATAAATCTTTTAGAGGGAAAAAAGTTTTCGAAGAAGAGTTTCTGGGGCATATGAGATGCCTACAAAAGCGATAAAAGAAGAGTTGGCGAAAAAAAGTTGGCAATCTGGCTAATTGGAATTGAAAGCTTACACACGTACACGCCCACGTCATCCAGGTTGTGCTCTCATGCACTTCCCTTCGAAAACTTTTTTCTTCCAACTTATTTTGTGCACTTCCGTATATCCGGGGCGGAAAAGGAAGAAGGAGGATCGCGTTGAATTCGAATCGAAATACAAATCGGTTCAAAAATAGAAAAGCCAGATTCGAAATAGATTTTTTTTATCTTTGCTAAAATCTGAAAAAGAAAGATCAACTATTGCAAACCAAGATTTTTTTGAAAATTCCGGGATAGGTTGAGAACAGCCTCGCAATTAAAAGTTTAGAACCCGCTGGCCAGTTTTAGACAAGTTGTATCAGTTTCAATACAAAAAATCACGTTTTCAATGCAAAAACAGACATTTTCAAAAACGAATTTTCTCGACTTCTGGGATGTTTCGAGACATGAAATTTTTTGTTATTCCTAAAATTCGATGAGATTTCAGTTTTCAGACATTTCCTCAAAAACATATCTTTAGAAATTTCCAAGTAAATCTCCTATTAAAAGGTCGAAAAGTTCGAAAAATTAAAAGAGAAAAAAATTCAAAAAAAAGTCTTTGAAAGTTGATTTTTTGCCCTGAAAACGAAGTGTTTGGTGCTTCAACTCATACCACTGAAACTGGCGAGCAAAGTCTAAAATATTTAGAAGTGTCTAAACAAGCTATGTTTAATATATCCTGTTACAGAAAAAAAATCTGCGTTCGGGGGGAATCGAAACCCCGTCGAATGCTTGGAAGGCATCCATGCTGACCATTACACCACGAACGCGGTTGAGAAAAAAATCACAAGGTTTCGTATTTGATTTGCAATCCCCACCATTCGTCACCACTCATCAACTTGGTTTGTTTAGCAGGGGGAGGAGAGAGACCAGAAAGGCATAGACAAATGTTTTTGGTCTGCTACACTTTAGTAGGTTATGAACTTTGTTTTTGTTCTGCGCAAGAGATGGAGATCATTTTGAAACTATTTGTTCTTCAATTTATAGTTGTTTACAGTTAAAAACAAGTTGTAAATATTTTTTCTCCTAAACTGAATTCCTTCAGAGAATCCCTTTAGAGAAGAATTCACGCTTCTGGTTCATGAAACTTTGTTAGTAGCAGACACACTGAAGTTGTTTTTTTTCTTATCTCGGACTCTTTCCAACCCTTAGAAATAATTAAGGGGCATCACGCGATTTCTCTGAATAGGGCAAACAGTTTTTTTTCTGTTCGGGTTCGGAGGACCGATTAAAAAAAGAAGAGAGGGGAATTGAAACTTGCTCTAACGGATTTGGACACTTTTTTCAACGTTATTAATCTTTTAATCCACTGATTCGTGGCCAAGATTAGCAGTTACCAAAACGGATTAGACTCGTTTTCCTTTTTTTTCTATCAAATTGTTGCCAAATTGGGTTTTTGTTGAAATTTGGATATTCAGAGTGTGTCCGGTGGCATAATCCTACCAGAAATATCAGCAATGAAAAATTTGAACAAAAATGCACCTATACAACCACTTTTTGAGAATTACGAGAACAATTGATATATAAAGGAAAGAAATTGAATTCAAAAACGTCTCCAATTTATTTCCATTCAACAAAGTGCTTGGATTATTCAAATCGGAATCCTATCCAATTTTCTGAAAATGAAAAGGAATCGAGCCAGACGTTTTTTTTTCCTTCTTGATGTGTCGAAATATGCTGACTGATCGGAATGAAGTCATTTGGGTCCCGAGATATTAGATACTACTGTAGATTTGAATTCAAAAATAGATTTAGATGCCTTTAGAGTTTGCTTTCAAAACGACGGGTTTTGAGATTGGATGCAGACTACTTTTTTTCTGGATTTTTTCAAAATTTAAGAATTGGTACTCCTTCCAAACTAAAAAAAAAAACTGAAAATATTTTTCAAATTCCATTTTGCAACTTCAGTGGAAAAGATACAGCATTTTCGGAAAACTTTTGAAGCAAATTCATTTTCGCGTTACTCTATCATGTCCATTTTGTCAGCATGTCCACGTATCGAGCGGCAAGCCCCCAGCTCTGTTAGCAAGTTTAAAACGGAGTTTTGGAAAAAATTATGCTGAATCGTTAAGCTTGGCTGAATTTCTGAACTAACAAATTACAAAGGACAAAAAAACAAAATGTACCTGATTAAAACGTCATGAAGAATGTAGGTGGGGACAATCATAATAGCTCCCCGCGCACAAAACGAACAAAAACAGGATTAACTAAAGAGAACGTTGGACAATGATAATGAAAAATAATGATAAAACTGGATATAAAAAAAGTGAATAAAAGAAGAAGGAAAAAAAGAGACGAGAAAAAATAGGATGGCGTTCTAGAGATGGGATCTATTGAGTTATCTTCTATGTATCTCTTTCAAAAAAAATATTCTGACGACTCATCTCCATAATTTTGCATTCATGGTGGATCTTCTCTCATGACCATTGAGCAGCAACAACATAGTGACAAAAATGTTGAAATTGATCAGAATGATATGAGAATGTACACGAATGATCTCATGATGAAACAAATACCTGAAAGTTCAGTCAGTTCCTTCGTCATGTTCATCACCGCTAAACATGACGTGTTGAGTAGCTCTCTAGAGTAAAATGAACACTAAAAAACGAAGAATAGAGAGGTTTCTGTCTGAATTCAAGTGTGTAAACAGAGAAAATGATCGTTGACGATTTTTCTTGCCCATCTTAATGGGGAAACGAATTGGCAAACGTGACCCAAACGACCGGACACAGTTCCTTTTACTTTTTAATTTGATCAGCAGAGGTAAGATCGAATTATGACTAGTTCTAAATTTTACTTTTCTACGTGATCGGATAGAAAACAATTGTTTAAAAAATAAAATGCCCAAATTTCTGATGAGACCTAATTTGCCTCTTTGATCTTTGTTCATAGAAACAAGAGGAGATCTCATTCAATATGCGTGAGCAATCCGAAAAGCCACTTCTTTCTCAATTAACATAAGCTAACCTCGTCGTCAAGTTCTTATTTTTTCCTGCGTTTTCCCAAAAATTGACTGAGGAGGAGAGAGACGAGAAAAATGGGAATAATTGAATATTTAAAGAAGGAGAAGGAGCATTCCGAGCAATCTCAATTGAGGAAATTTCTTGTTTCTGTATTTTTATAACTTTCAGATTTCAAAAGATACATAAAAATGAGGAAGATGTCGGGACCGGAGAAGAAAT